TCTTTTCTTTCTTTTTGCATATATGGCAGAAGATCAAATATATAAGATTTGAACTGTCACTGTTAAGAGCTACTGGTTTGAACACTAATTGAGTGTTACAGGGGAGTGCTTTCGTTTTTATATATATATATATATATATATATATATATATATATATATATATATGTGTGTGTGTGTGTGTGTGTGTGTGTGTATTTGTGTGTGTCTATGTGTGCATCTATGTTTGCGTGTGTAAGTAGTGTGGACAGAGGTATAAATACTTAATGTCGAATTTGTGTTGCAACAACCATTTGTCTCTGAATAGCAAAACTTAAAATTTTATGATAATTAGAAGACGTTTTAAATGACAGAAAGAATGAAGATTATGTCATTGACTTAATAAAAAAAAACTTAGTGAAATAACAGTCAGCATTAACATTTTCTTGGTTTTAACCATCGACCCTGAGTTTCGCATATTGGGAGAATTTTATTTAAGGAAGTAATTTGCAAACTTCCATGCTGGCCACGTTTCCTGATGTTGATAGATTTTGCAGCAATTTTAATCAACCACCCATCTTGCGGTATGCCAGGAAATTAGATCTATGAACAATCAGCTAAATTTTATGTATATAAGTATAAGTTACGACAGTCACATTTAAAACTGAACGAACATGCATGGTTCTTTTTGCACATTTAACTAAATACCCTGCCACGGCACATACTATCACGTCTGTAATAATCGTATATATCCTTTCAAGCCCCACTAGGTCTTATTTCAAACATACATTTATTTATTTCCTTGAAAGGAAAATTCGTTTTACTCTCTGCTCTCCGATCAGAGTTTTCCAGCCCAGCTTATTACGTAATTCACTTTTTCTTCTATGTACCGTGTCCCTTCAGAAAGTTAGCGATCATGACTCTCCACAATATCCTCCTGTCTTTTCTATTTCTTAATAAATTTGATCTTTTTGTTATCTTCCCTTAACTTTGTTCCTCCATCAATTTACTTAAGCTCTCTAGATAGGTTATACCTAGTGTATTCTTAGTTTAGAATTCAACCTGCCCTGTGAGTATCAAATTACCCAAACCCTGCTTCCTCATTATGGGCCCTAGTCATTTCAACTGTCTCTTCCCGATGTTAACTAGAATGCCGTTTTTGTTTCCATTTTCTGTAAAACTTCATCGTTGCTCACATGTTCGATCAATGGTATTCTCAGCATCCTTCTGTAGAACTACATTTCTGTTGCTTCAAGTCTCTTCATCATCTGTAAGGTGATGTTTGAGCATTAACTTCCATAGTGATTTTCCAAGCGTAGCTTAGATGTGGCACAAGGCCCAAAGTAAGGGGCACCGGGAGAAAGATCGAACTCACTACTCAGTCGTAATTTTTCTAGCGAGCTAACCGTTACACTACGTCGAGGTGCCCTAAGCATTCACTTTCGTGTAAGAAGACTGATATTACGTAACAGTTCAGTACTCTTTCCTTTGTTTCTAACGAAGTTTGAAAAAACTCTTTCCATCTGTACATTAACATTGACTAATTTTTTTACATGCCCCAAAAGTAGCACAAATGTGATTTCAATGCAAATACTGGAACAGGCTTTAGACATCGCGTAAAAATCACTCACACAGAGAAGACTGCATCCGCATTGCGCAGCTGCCGCTATTTAAGCAAAGAGATGCGTTTCGTCTTCCTATTCCTGAATTGATAACGAATTTAAGCTAATAAATAATTTCATGCCAGTGGTAAATTCATGATTAGATAGATAAAATAATTATGAAACTTATGGAAAAAGGATGATGCCAATCAAAATTGTTTTTTACGGGTTATCAACATTCTGTGGCTTATTTAAAGCCGGGAAATAATTTGAATTCTAATTCTAATTATTCATTGTGAGTATTGACTAAAAATATTTCAGAATAGGAACGATCTTTTCAGATAAATGTCCTATTATTTAACCCATAGTTTTGGGAAGGACATGAATTCATACATTTCCCAAGGTTATTTGCGATTAAGTGTATGTAATTAAACCGACTGGTATTACAACTCGATTCTAACCGATTTCTCATCCATTACTCTATCCATTACACCACCCGCACATCCAGTTTACAGAGAATGATAGATTTGCGTTAAGATGCTCATGATAATCTCCTAAAAGAGGCATATAAAAATAGGGAAAGGATTAGCTATATGAATAAGAAATGAGATGGGAGGAAACGAGGTGTGGTATACGTGAGAATTTGCAAAGAGATTAAACACAGACATGAGGAATAATTGACGTCATTGAGAAGTTCATGCTAATCATAATTTTATCACTAGCAACGATTCCTCAAGCGTTTAACAAAGAGAATGAAACATTACTACAAACGAAAAAGAGATCTATTCTGATCATCTCTCATAGAATATTATTTATTAATATTAGCCGTTTCTTTATAAGGAAACATGTGGCATACACTTACTAAGCAGCCAGTGTTTCTCGAGTTACGCCTTTATTCCCTCTCTGTCCATCGGACCGGGATCAATGTGTAGTACTTCTTCTAATATCAAATGGTAATATTTCCCTATTAGGAAAGATTTGGTATTCACTTACCAAGCAGCCAGTGCTACTCGAGTTACGACTTTATTCCCTCTATGCCCATCAGACCGGGAACAAACTGTTCTCTTATCAAATGATAATATTTCCTTATAAGGAAAGGGCCGGGATAAAAGTGTAATATATGTTCTCCTCATTTCAAATAATAACGGTAGTATTAACTATTTCCATATAAGGTAATGTTCGGGATACACTGACCGCACAGAATGTGCTATTCGATTTTATTAATTATGCATTCCCTGTTTATTGGTCTGGATCAAAGTGCTGTATCAGTTCTCATCATCTCTCATGGAAATGGTAATATTAGCCTTTTCCTTATTCACTTACCAGGCAGCCAGTTCTATTCAAGTTCCGAAGTTCTTCACTCCCCGCCCATCAGGCCGGGATCAAAGTGTCGTAACTGTTCTGTTAATATCAAATGGTAATGTTTACTTATAAGGAAATATTTTGCATTCACTGACGAAACAGACAGTGTTACTTGAGGTATTCTAATGGAGTTAATCCGGGCCGGGATTAAAGTGTAGTAACTGTTCTTATCTCAAATCGTAATATTTGTCGTTTCCTTATAGGGAAACTTTGGTCGCTCATTGGCTGAGCAGAAAGGGATACTCTAGTTAAGCTTTTCCTCGCTCCTGATTATCAGTTCTCCTCATCTCTAATGATAATGGTAATATTAGCCGTTTCCTTATAAGGCAATATTCATCATTCAATGGCTGTGCTGCCAATGCTACAGTCGATTGAAATTCATAAAATTTTTCTATTAAAACAATTTTCAGCCAAATAGGTTTCTCAGGTTTATTTTCTGTTATTGATCTTTTCATTATTGATTGGACTTTCCTTACTAACCTTTTGCCTAAAGTAGTGTGGAACATCAGTAGCATGGTTATGTCATTATATTCCCTTCGGATTACATGTACTATATATTTTAGTTGTTGCTGCTGCTGGAAATCCTCAATTGAAGTGGTTTCTCTTATTTTGTAATCTTATTTGTTTGCGCCCACAAGGTTTGGAGAAGAATGTTTGCTATACGCTTTACTCACCCGAAGCCATTTGAATTATTAATCTGAGAAAATGATTGTAAACAGCTGGCAGTTTAGATTTTGTTGAACGGTTTTAGTGCCATGCATGTCATCGATTGTAATGTCTCGATTTGACGTGGTCTATTTAAAAAAAAAAACAAACAAAAAAAAAAACATGAGTCAATTTTTAGCATAATGTTTTAGTTTCGTAGCAACTTACGGTATTAGGAGAAACAACCTTTAGTACCGACTATTCGACGTTCATTTTTTTTTTATATCTTCTATGCTAAATTTTCTGTAACTGATCCATCTATCGAGGTATTTAAAGTATTTGGCATTTTCTAATTCCAGCATTAACAAATTTTTATGATATATGCCATCATTGTTTTCATTCCAGGTACCAGATCATTGTTTCCAGATGGAAGTATGATCGTTTCATATCAATCGTCATTGTGTCAATGGAGAGCTTGAATGATTTATACAAATTTATACCAATCATCATTGGAAGATTGGTTGGGTGATGTTTTGTATAGCGGTATATTAGCTTCTATAGTGAATTTAATGACGGAATGTAAATATTTTGTACACAATTATATATATATATATATATATTTAGAATGAAATTTATTGAATCCATTGCTAGGTCACCTGCTAAGAAAGTCTCTTTTCTGTGTCGGGCGAGATAATTTTTATTTACCTAATCTATTTTACATGTCTACTATTCGTCAAATTGAACAGAATATTGATTCCATATATGGTCCGGTGCTCCCGCTTGTTTACTTCATAAGATCTAAAGAAGAATATTATTGGTCCATATCTGGCAGCTCACTTTCCCACTGCCATAAAGTTGCCTCTCTATGTCCTTTGTACAAATATTTTCATGTTAATTGTTTGAATGATCTCTTCGCTATGGTACCTAGACTTTTTGAATTTAAGCGCAGTACTAGATTGGCGTTGAGGTCTCATCAGTTATCTCAGTAGAACTGGCCAGATGTAGCCGTAATTTCTATCCTAACAGTTTCTTTTCTCGCATTTCTCATTTGTTGAACTCCCTTCCAGTACCATGGTTTTCAGCCAACTTTAATCCGGAAAAATACAATGTCAATCGCTATCTACTGTCCTTCTGATTACTCTTTTATCTTTCCGCTCATTATTAATGTTTCTGTTCATAAATCTTCCACACTCTGTAAATTTCTTTGTCTTAGTGGCTTTATTGCCTTTCATGGGGTTATACTGATTAAAGAAAAAAAGATAATGGTTTTTAGTGATACAGTGGGAGAAGAGGTGGGCCATAACTTTTCACAAGTATTTACGCGTAAGTGAATATAACAAACCCAACTTGAATTGAAACTCGCTCTCTGATTAACAATTCCGAGCCATTATCCATTGCAAATGACACACATCCAAGCTGACAGCTCCTGGTATTCCCAAGTGGTTACCCATTTAGATACTGACGAGGCTCGACTTGGCTTAACTTCAGTGGTCATACGGGAACTGGCATTTCAATGTGATGTGGCTGTATGCCTGGAAAACAGAAAATGATGCATATGTTGATTTCCAAAAGAGAATAATAGATTTACAGAAAATGCGACATTATGATTATCACCAACGGCAGACATTTCAAAAAATGAAGGAATTTTAGAAAGAACTAGCAGTAGAGCCCAGCATTGCCCGGGGATGTAACAGTAAGAGATAGATCAAGTATCGACCATCATAAAGACTGAAAAATAAAATTGACAAAGATTATTGTTTAAGGTTGACGGACACGCATGACTTAATTAGTTTTTTTTTTTTTTTTTTTTTTACGAATTGGTCAAACCCAAACTCAAACAAAAACATTGTTTTCAATCTTTATGAGTCTACTGATTGAATAAAATTTTATTATAAACAATTGTCTTGTAAATGGAATTTTTAAAGTATTCTGAATGTAAAAATAAAGAAAAAAAGTGTGCAAGACAATAAGAAACACTACCTGCCAAAAAAAAAGTGTATTTTGTTGAAATCGGTTGAAAAATGTAGAAAATCTGATCCCATATATAAACGAACACACACAAACAACCTGGGTTTTATAATAAGTATAACTCGATATGAGTTGTCCCCCTTTCATTTTCGCGATGCCTTTTAATCGTGTTTTCAAACTGATTTCGTGCAAAAGCAATTGTGTTTTTCCAATTTTTGGAATCGCAAGGTAATTTTACGTAGTCCTGTGAAGTTTTGTTGAAATCGGTTGAAAAATGTAGAAAATCCGATCCAACACACACACACACACACACACACACACACACACACACACACACACACACACACACACACACACACACACACACACACAACTTGGGTTTTATAATAACTATGATTTGGAACATTGTGAACGATACAAAAGACAATTTCGTAAAGGAATAACAGATTCAGTACAAAACAAGATCCTGTAGTGTTACATGCCTATCATTATTGAAAGACATTTTTACAGAATAATGGAAGAATTAATAATGACTAATACCTGTTGATTTTTCTTTTCTCATTTTTCCTCTCACATGAAAAAGTTAAGCGCCGTCGAACCTGGTCAGTGCACAGATGGGTGACCGCTTGGAAATACCTCGCTACTGTAAGCTAGTATGTGCAATTCAGTGTAATTTTCTTGCGTTGATTTTCTTTTATTCTTCCTATCATGAAAAAGTTAACCGACGTCGATCCTGGTCAGTACATAGATGGGTGACCGCTTGAAAATACCCCGCTGCTGTACGCTAGTATGTGCGGTTGTGTATAATTTTCTTACGTTGATTTTCTTTTATTCCTCCTCTCACATGGAAAAGTTAAGCAGCATCACATATAGCCAATACATAGAAGGGTAACTGTTTGGGAATACCAGCTGCTGTAAACTTGGATGTACGAGTGTGTATAATTTTATTTAGTTGATTTTTTTTTGTTCTTCGTGCATGAAAAAGTTAAGCAACGTCGAGTCTGGTTAGTAGCGAGATGGGTGACCAGGTGCTGTAAGCTTGGATGTTTGGGTGTGTGTAATTTTCTTGAGTTGATTTTCATCCTCCCATATGAAAACGTTTTTTTTCCTGTCTCAATTTCCATTATTATTTTATATTTGTTTTCGTATATGTATTATTTACAGAGCAAATTCCCGGACTGGTTAAGCAACATCGAGCCTAGTCATATCTTAGATGGGTGACCGGTTGAGAATACCAAGCGCTGTAAGCATGTATATTCGGGTGTGTGTAATGGATAATGGCTCGGAATTTTTAAACGGAAAGCAGAGTTCCAATTCCAGTTGGGTTCGTTATATTCACTTACGAGTAAATACTCTTGTGAAAAGGTACGGCTCTACCACTTTTAAACTCATCTAGGGGTTAATTAGTAAGACTTGTATCCCTAAATCATTAATTGCTAAAAATATCTTACAATCTAAAATACTTTCTGGCTTTAAATAACCTGCAAAAGGTTGATAAGCTGTAAAAAATAAAGAGATCTATTAATCAATCTTTCCAGAAGAAAGTTTTCCATTTGATTTTTTTGTGACGCACAAAGACACGCATACTAACGCAAACAACTTGTACACGTACACGTGGAGACAGACAAACTGTGACCGCTCCATCTTTTATCTTTCAAAGACAAAGAGTAGCTCAGTGGGATTGGTTAACGGGGATTATTCTTGTTATTTCTTTGTAGTAAAACGTTGTGCACTGAATGACACCGAGTTTTCTTCTAGAATTTAAATCAGGTCATTGATGGCAGGTGGGGGAGCTAACGAAATGTTGTTTTGTCAGATATTACAAAAGACATTGTGATTAAATGGAACAGAGGAAATATTTACATGATTCGAAGAGGGAAGTGCAGTTAAGAAACTCACAGAAAGATCTGCGTAGTGCTATGCATGATGCTTTTTACAATAATGTTCACCCTGTATAAGAAGGTATTGCTGTTAAGGTTTTTTTTTTTTTCCCAATAATGTATTGCTTGTAATTTTTTTCCCAGTAATTTATTGCTGGTAATTTTTTTTCCCCAAGAATATATTGTTCGACATTTTTCCCAATAATGTACAGTTTGTAATTTTTTCTTCCAAGAATATATTGTTTGTAATTTTTCCCCCAAGAAAATATTGCTGGTATTTTTTTCCCCATGAATGTACAGTTTGTATTTTTTTCCACAAGAATTATTGCTCGTAATTTTTTTCCCAGTAATTTATTGCCGGTATTTTTTCCCCAGTAAAGTATTGCTGGTAATTTGTTTTCCCCAGTAATATATTGCTGGTAATTTTTATTCCCCAGTAATGTATTGCTGTTAAATTTATTTTCCCCAGTAATTTATTGCTGGTAATTTTCTTTTCCCAGTAATGTATTGCTGGTAATTTTTTTTCCTAGTAATGTATTGCTGGTAAACTTCTTTTCCCCAGTAATTTATTGCTGGTAATTTTCTTTTTCCAGTAATGTATTGCTGGTAAATTTCTTTTCCCCAGTAATGTATTGCTGTTAATTTTTTTCCCCAGTAATGTATTGCTGGCAAATTTCTTTTCCCAGTAATGTATTGCTGGTAATTTTTTCCCCGGTAATGTATTGCTGGTAAATTTCTTTTCCCCAGTAATGTATTGCTGGTAATTTTTTCCCCGGTAATGTATTGCTGGTAATTTTATTGCCAGTAATGTATTGCTGGTAATTTTTTCCCCCAAGAATGTATTTTTGATAATGTTTCCCCCAAGAATGTGCAGTTTGTAATATTTTCTTAAAGAATATATAGCTGGTAATTTTTTCCCCAAGAATGTATTGTTCGTTGGCTTGAAATTCAGTGTATATCATTTCGCCGAAGTGTAAACAACATTGTTTTTTCATAGCGTTAAACATTTCGCGCAAAATAAAGTATATATGCGGGGAATATCACTGCACTACTTTATGCAAAATAAATATGGAGCTGAAGCACACAGAATTCTTGTTGAGACTAACGGCGACCATGCTCTTTTGGAAACAATATGCAGAGATTGGTTTAGACGCTTCAAAAATAATGATTTTAATGTTGCAGATAAAGAACGCTTCGACGCACCGAAAATGTTTGAAGACGAATAATTAGGGGCATTACTTCATGAAGACTCATGACAGACCCAAACTGAACTTGCAGAAACATTAGGAGTTGATCACATTTTTCTGAAGATGCCAAAAAATGTGTCGACTCGCTGTTAGCCTCAAAAGACGTGGAATTCAAATGCTGCCAGAAAGATCGGAAAAAGTAGTGGCTAGCGATGAACAATATTTTCAGTGACATGTTTCTTACTAATTTTTGTAAATAAAACATTCTTGAAAAATCAGCAAGAACTTATTCAAGGTCCTAATAGTATCTGTAAAAATATTTGGAATTGTTAATCCACTCGCAGAAAAAAAAAGAAAAGATTTATTCTTAGAATCTAAAATATGTTTCAGCTTTGAATAATAAAATTTGATAAGACTGAAAAAAGCAAAAACAAATCAGTCATTCCATTAATCAATCAGGAAGCAGTCTCCTCGAAAAGGAGAGATATTGCCAATCGCTAGGAGGCTGTTTCCAGCCACATGACTGGACATGTTGAATTAAATGACTTTCGAGCAGTAAGATGAAAAATATAAAGAAAAAGTAAAATCTAAAAGAGATTGAATGGAGATTAAAAATTACGGACATTACGGATATGGATATCTTCGTCTTTTCTGCCATCTTGTAAAATTAGAAACAACGAGTTGACGTATGGCGACGCAAAAAAGACGTAAAAGTAAGCATGTAGTGTAACTATGACAGTAATGGCATTCCGACGGGATTTGAAATAATATGACAGCTGGATTTTTGATTTCTGAAATATCAGAAATCTTCAGTATCTGTCTATATTTCTGAGATGAGGTGTTATGTACACTATTTACATTATTCGGACTATTGTCCTCATCTTTGTTGTCATATTTATTACAACGTTTCGGCCCTTCAGTATCTGTCTATATTTCTGAGATGAGGTGTTATGTACACTATTTACATTGTTCGGACTATTGTCCTCATCTTTGTCGCCATATTTATTACAACGTTTCAGCCTTTCAGTATCTGTCTATATTTCTGAGATGAGGTATTATGTACACTAATTACATTATTCGGACTATTTTCCTCATGTTTGTTGCCATATTTATCATAAATTTTCAACCGTTGTACGCTTTGGCTTTCTTCAGGTTGTTGGAATGTCGAACTGAAACCTTTATTTCGCTCACTGGGGTAGAATGGTCTAGTTCCACGTGCCTAATGGATGTCAGTTATCAGTTATCTTTTGTTATTTCCCCTCTCCAAGTTATTCACCGCCTTAACTAGCTGAAATAGGCCGGAGCGTACAACGGCCGAAAGGTTGTGATAACTATGGCAACAAAAGTTGTGGATGATATCTTATCTACTAAATGGCAACTTCTCCACGCTTTTCATGCGTAACAGAAACAGGGGCATAGAAGTATATGTCGATTTCGATAAAATGTTAAAGACGAGTGGAAAATTACGCTGCCCATTGTTAATGTAATAAT